CATGAGAAGGCTTCATGTCTTTGAATACCGTTGCCTTCGTAGTATGGGCCATGTTTCGTGGTGTTACTATGTGAGTAACGCAAAGTCAGATGTAGAGTTTTAGGCAGGAGAGGGAAGTCAGTTACTGTGGCTGTGAATTTTTATCCACTGAGATGGCTAGGACATCTATTACGTACTCCTAGAGACCGTCTGCCTCGTCGCACAATGTCGACTGAAGTAGGTTCAGGCTGGAAAAAGGCCTGAGGTGGCAAGATTAAAACATGGCATCACTGCATGAAGTCCCTGACTGTTCGTTTGAGCCATGTAGGGGGTGAGGTAGACCTGCCGGTCGGGGTCCGCGTGAAAAGAGAAACCAGTAGTTGGAGACTAAGTGATATTAGTTCAGAACCGATTTCATTGGAGCAGTTGTAGACAAACATCACCCTCATATTAACCGCTATACTTAGTCTCATCATCTCATTCTTTCTTACTCTCCTTTACCACTTTTAACTCCTACTTCTACTTTCTAGGACCGGTTTTTATGTCCTTCTTCATCCATTTTATTACCCTGTTACTTGGTGTGCTGATATGAGGTCAAGCAGGTTGGACGGTTATACAGTAATGCCTGGTCGTATGTTGATCTTGATTATGATGATGAGGTAATCACCGGATAACATATCAGTGCTTTCTTTTTATTTTATTACCATAAATTATCAATCAACCTCTCCTGCATAAACAGAAATGATCTTCCTAGAAGAACAAATGCTTATCCCACTCAATCGGTAACCATTATTTTGTCTACCCAGTGAAGCTGGAAAAAAATTACAAAAACCATAATGAAATTAACCGCCCAAGTTTAAATTGACTGAAACCGAGAGTGGAAACATGCTAATACACACTGATGATATATTATATTATCTAATGAAGCGTTAATACCATTGTCAATTCTATACAAACAGATCATGAATAGCTGGGAAGAAAAAAAGATATCGCTTGATTGAAAACTGTTGATTTATTGCGTTCAATGAAGAGTAGTAGCCAGAGTTTTCAATTATTTTAATGAAAATAACATTTTTATATTAGTTCCAAGCATTTAAGATTCTATTTAGTGAAATAAAGGACAATACGAACGAAACAGCTGTGCACTACTCTGAGGTTTCTTCAGCTGATGTCAGTCTTTGATGCCTATCAACCTGAGATCAATAAATAAATCCCTACAAATCTTCAAACTGAATACTGTGTTAGGACAAAGATACTATTCGTCTTCTCATTATTCTGCTGAAATTTACCTGTGGGACTTATTACTTTAAAATTCTAGATTGTAACCGCTGTCGCTAGATTTCTACATCGATTGACAATAAAAATTGTTCTTTCCTTTGTTCTTAAAACTTATCATTGACATTACACTAGATATGATGTCATTTCTATTGGTTTGCACTTCCACCATTTTGTTACTAACCATCATATGTCACCTCATTCATATCATTCTGAAACCTAAGCTATAACCTTGAGGTAAAGAATGATCACTTCACAAATTATTTACAAATAGCACAGTCCAAATTAACACTTCTCTCAACTGAGTGGTTTTTCAACTACCCAACTGTGATGTCAACAGGGTTACCTTCAGAAACTACACAATAAGATCATAAAATGGGATCGTATGACAAAAAATGTATCATGAACTAACAAAATATATTGCTGAAAAACATGAGTGGTTAGTTTGTAGATTTCGTTAGCTAAATTTGGGTGATCTAAACACCACTTAAGTAAGCCAACCAGTTTAAGACGGTTTAACCAGTTTGTCTTTGTAGACTGAATTTGCCTTGGAATACTGCCAGTGAACACAGGCCCAAACTAGAGAAACGACTGTCTGGTGTTTGAATCGCTCTGATTTAGCTAGCGAAATCTACAGAACAGCGTGAGTGGTTTCTAGCTGTACATATTACTGGACAGTATATACCCTTGAAGTATATAGTTCCTTTTCCTTCCCTTCGGTATTTGTTAGGATTACTCATCATTCGTTTGATACCATGCAGTGTCACATTCGGTCCATTGTAACATTCTTTATAGGCTTCCAAGACATTATAAAACTGGCAAAATTAAAACTGATTTGAGTGAACATATACTTCCGTTAAGTTTTTATCCGTTTCTGTCTTTCAATACGGTCATTTGAACTAAGAAACATACATGTCAATTGGCTGAGTGAGCTGGATTGCTGATAGTTATTTGTTCAATTATACGATTATGGGAATAAAACTGTGTAACAATTTATTTCACAAGATTTCAAATAATAAGTTGGTACAAAGATTAATAGAAGTAGAGACTATCAAGCAGCTGTCCATTGCAAAGGCATATGGAGCAGCCTTTACCTTAATTTCAACAGGTTTTTTTCCAGTCAACTACACACTAGCACTAGTTAGAACGATGTTCTATAGAAGAGCTTGAAGAATGTGCTCACGAGAATAACTTGAAGAGGAATTATCGCTTCTTCAAAAGTATCTTTAAAAAAATGGATACCTATGAAGCTTCGTCAACAAACAGAGTAAAAGGGAATGCAGTAGGAATGAAAAAATAACACCTAGTAACAATCTGGTCTACACTTCTTCAAAGGTGATGATGGTAAACCCGAGATTACGCACTGTAGTATCCGGGACGTGTCCTGAAACAAAGCTAGTTCCTGTGTTCCATACTTCTTGCTCAGTGATGCAACCAGAATTGACAGGTACTCCTGACATGTTACTTCCAGTTTTGTGTCTCGCTTCACGTGTATATGCCAGAGCAGTCACACTTGGAGAAGAGAAAGAAGGGCTTGCGTTCTATACTCTGAACATGTCCCGAAGAGATTACGATTGAAATGAACAGGTGTTCTGAATGGTGCAGTTACTTAGCAATTAATGATCATGGGCATCAAGCAGATGCTCTGAAATCGTTCAAAGTAATCAACAAATAGAATCATTCTAATCTTCTTCTCTTCGTCGAAATCATCGCAAGTTAAAGCTTGGAACCAGATTTGTGCTTTTAAAAGGGATCTATCGTCAACTAGGGTAGTTACTCTAGTTATCTAATATTTTAATCTTCCACTTATTTGGTAACATCAGATTCCGATCTAACGCTAAACCCAAATCTTAATCAACCGAGTTCTACTCACATTTTGTCTTTTGATTACTGTTGACTCACCTACTCATTGACTTACATAATTTCTTGTTTGAAATTACACAGTATTCTTTTTTCTGCTACTATCTAGTTTTTACCAGAACTTCCGTTCTAATAAGGTGTATATTTATGACATCATTACATAGCATTTTGAATTTATTTCAATTCAGATAGTTAGTTTCCTTACCTTCTCTATTTTGACTGGACTCACTGAACTTGAGCATACTAATATTTTATCATAAATTGTTGTTGTAAATATTCTAAGTTATAAGCAGCTGATGAGAACCACCAAAATAATAATATGGATCAGTATCATTCTGCTCCAATGTTTATTCTTGTACTAAAAGGAAGTTTATTTGTAGCTAAATATCTACTAATTTATGATGCCTTATGCTCTCTGGAAAGTGCGAAATCAGTAAACATCCTGCTTATGTTACCATGATCTGGGTTTATGAATCCACACGCACTTGTGATAGTAAATAGTTTGGGAAGAATGAAAGCAAGGCAAACGTTAGTTTTTTAGAGAGCTTTCTGAGCAGTTTATACTTGAAAGACAACAAGGTTCTAAAATCATGAGATATAATCATATTCTGATAATCCAGTAAACAATACCATTCCACTGTGTGATACTTCTAATCAATTACCCAAAATGAAATTAAGTTTTTCTTTATTTTAGGTTGGAATTCATCATGGACTGACATCAGTTGGAGGATAATTGGAAACCTGGGAGTGCTCGACAACTGTTTCGTCCTTGTATGGGACTCGTCAGCAGTGCGCACCTATGACCACGCCTCGTCAGGAATCGAACCCAGGACCTTTAGGTTCCATAACCAGCACGTTACCGTTTAATTGTTTAAATTAATCAGGCGAATTAAGTGTATGAAATATAAATACTTTAAATACATTAACTTTATTTAGTCCAGTCATTTCATGTAACAGATTTCAGATATCAGGTGTCATTTGTTTGTGACAAATATCAACTAACCTATTGGTTGGAAACCAAACTAATCTCTCTGTTTATATTTCAATAATTTATTTTTCCTGTGCCAAATTTTCTTTACGCTTTGGTGTGCTTTAACATCACACAGTGATCAAACAGAAAAATATAGCTGTTAATCAAATTTTTTATAATACAGTTGATACAAGCACATTAACCGGAATTCTGTACACTACGCAATTTCTAATTTTAATTTCCACCATATGTGCATACTTTGTACAATTGAGATATTGTGATCTCGCTAGAGATTTCTGGCGATTTTATTTATTTCAAGCTGGTATTCATCACAGACTGACGTCTGCAGGAAAACTGTTAGAAACCTGGAGGCACTGGACAAACGTTTTGTCTTAGTGTGGGACTCCTCAACAGTGTGCGCCCATCACCGGTAGAAATCGAACTCCCAGACCATCCACTGGTCTGAATTTCAGTGTTCCACAAATTCCTATTTTTGTCAATTCGTGATATAGCGTGACTACCCACAAAGATCTTCAGCTGGCATCCGCTTCACTTGTGAGTGGTTGACCTTACAGGTCACAGTTTCTCAGTGGAACTTCAGGATATTCACCTCGAAGTATCTCACTAATGAGCACTATATAGTAATTTTAGTTTGAAATTTACAGGGGATTTTGATTATTGGTTTCAAGATAGTATTCAGCCCATTGGGATTCCTGTTACTGTTTCATTTTTTGCGACGCAATAGTCTAAGCTACTCTTATAGCACTGTTTCCGTCGGGTAGCTGTGTTGGCTGTTGTTATTTTGTTTTACTGATACTGTTTTTTCTTCTAGAATACAGAATCTTTAGACAAAAAGTGGCTGAAAAATGTTTTGAAACAAATAAACATGAAATTATTCAAACATAGTTTGTCTTACCTCAACCAAGCCTTGTAACATTCTTATCATCATAACAATACCAAAGTGAACCTTGCACGCACCTGGTAGTAGTAAGTTTAAAAGAGCGCTTCCACCGACAGCAATACCAAATAAACGATTAGCTGGAAATTTCGATGCTATCACTCCACCAGGTATTTGAGTAATTAAATAACCATAAAAGAAGGAACTATCCACAAATCCACGTTGACCTGCTGTCCAGTAGAAATCTGGTTTCTGAAATAAGTTGTATAAGTGATGGGAAAACAGTAAGGATAAAGTATTAAAAATTTGGAGTAAAAGTTTGACATAAAGTCTGGTCTGCAGTTCTGAGTAGCATTCTTTGAAACACTGCTTATTTAGATCTCATATGAGTATAGTTCAGTTTTCCCGAAATAGGGATTCAACTGTCCTATATGATTGGTGTGGTAAACACTTCAAGGTCAAAATACAGGTAAATTTTTTCAGTAAAGCCGGTAGCCGAATTAGTTCCATCATTTCTGTGGTTCAAATTTCAAAGCCGATTGCTTACTGGTGGAGGTTGGAATATAATCAGACTAATCAGCATCAACATGGGACATGGTACGACTACGTCTCGGTCCCGGTTCCCATAACTTGTGTCAACGCATCAAGCAAGAATGTATGTTGATGGGAGATAAAGAAATAAGGAAGAAAGCTGTATAAAGCAGTAGGAAGTTGTGGAAAGCGGGTGAGTGGGAGTGTGACAATACTGAAGTTCAGTATGATGAAGGAGATGTAAATAGTTTCTGGATACATCTGCGCCACTGAGATGAATTCCAAGCCGTAACAACTACAGTCTTCAACCATCGACTTCAATTGTCATGCAGACTTCAACCAGTAGGTCTACATTCCTTTACTTGATTCAAACCAACTGTCAAAAATTTCAAGGACTAATGCCATGCCTAAGTCTAGCTGCTTTTAATCTTTGCTCAAACTGAACCTGCTTCAGTTAACAATATGCGATAGGGCAGACGGTGATTTAGGATGAGTAACACGTATCACAGCTACCTGAGTAGATGAAAGGTCACAACCTCCTCAAAACTACGCCTGCATTCTACGTTAATGATGTGGTGGTGATTTTCCACTGACCACAATGGACAACATCAAAAATATATTTCATTTCCACAGAGGTTTTCAAATTCCTCCTTTCAAAATATTATCGACCAGGGCTTTGTTACAATTTTTGATATTTATTATGTATGCAGAAGTTGCAGTTCGGTTACTAATTGAAGGTTTGTAAGCTGGAGGATGTTTCCATGAAAACTAAAATAGACTTACAAACGTCTATAAGTAATCAGAAATCTTTTGAGAAAAGTTTTGGCTAGTAAATGATGTGACTGCACAAGGTTGGTAAATAATCTTGCTTCTATTGTTTTCATTCAAACTGCAGCATAATTTTCCAAAATTTATGACTACTCTTTCGTTTGCTGATGAAATAAAATCTATTTTGTGTGCATGACTAACTGGGTTAGTATGTCTTAAACTTACGATGAGGCATTTTGAGCACTTCAGTTTGTGTTAGTTGGCTGGAGGCAATCGGCAAAAAGCCCTGGACCTAGGTTTTGTGTTTGTTGGCACTCGTCAGCAAGGGGTGTCTGAAACCTCGATGGAACTGATGACCCACCCGAGATTCAAACCCGCGTCACCCAGTGTTGTAATCAATGACTCTGCCACTGAGCTACTCGGGCCAAGTAACAAATACTAATGTGCACTGCGATGCTTAGCTTCCTAGCTTGGTGATCACATTGCAAATATGATCGATAGAATTCGGTCTGCACTCAGGGCTATACCAATCAATACTTCAGTTTGTACAAATAAACTTATCTACTCCATAGAAGCAAGTAGCGTCCATCTGAATGAAGTCTGAAATATGTTAACAATTCTTCAAGCCAGCAGCTACTGTAAAAAGCATTCTCTTGGTCTAGTGTGTATTTATACTTTCATCAGAACTGTGATACAGTGATTAATATTCAGCATGATTTTCTCTAAAAAGAAAGACAGATTTGAGAAAACATTATTTTTCATTAATTCCCCCCACACTCTTTACTTACTAACTTTTTGAAATAGCTTTTATAAAAGCAGAGTTGAGGCAAACAGATTTTCATCGTTTGAAACTTTATGGACAGATAAGATCCCTGAGATCTTGAGTACAACTGGTTGTTTGTCGCTTCAGAAAGAAGTGATATCACCATCGTGTTCTCGATGTATATGGATTTTCTCTTATCAGAACAAAGCTGAAATTCAACTAATCCAATGCGGTACATCTGGGTGTGGACCATTAAAATCTTGGTAATGCATACTCTTCATACCCGTTAATTTGGTTTTAGGTATTGTAGACTCATTCTGTACTGCTCAGAAGCACATCCAGTTTAGAATTACAACAGACAGTTATTTTATTTCTAAATGATCAACTTGCAGTTTCTACAGTTGAATGAGTATAGTAGCTTCAGCTTCTGATATTTGCGTTCACTTCAAATTATTATATAACCTTAATCATTGTTTCAAGTTGAAAGGTAGTTGAAACGATCAACTTAAGCATAAGAGTGATTAGATACTTTCGAGTAAGTCAAGCTATCAGTGGCTACTTGCCACAGTCGATTTAAGGCTTCTTAGACTGTCTTATAGTAACAAATGGCACCACAGAGATTTTCTACCAATGTGACTGAATGAAAAGTGGAGTGAAAGATGTCAAGGCTGGCTAAAATCTTTCACCCAAACTTTCAATTAGGCAACACTCAATGTCAGAGAAAAGGCTACCTAAATAATCATTCGGATATGCTTCACTTCCTTATGGATTTCATACAGAGGATCTTCAGTACCAAGGCTGATGATGAAACGTCCACAAGAAAATATCAAAGCTTTGAGAGCACCAAACCACTGTCATTCTCAACCATAAATTTTTTGCATCATTTCAGTAACTCATTTTACCATCAAATACATCTTATAATATGTTGAATAATCAGTCTTCTCCCTTACATGGATGCAATTTATACGAACAAAAAGGATGCTTAAAAACTGCTTCCGATAATCAATATCTTTTCAATATTTCTCATTTACGACAGAAATATCTCTGACAACTGATTACGTAATACTATTCCATCATCGATACGAATGGGAAAAAAACAGCATACAAGTAACTGGTGTTGAATCTATCAAAATACACTAAAAATACACCAGGCATCAGTGTTGTCAGAAGGAACTTGTATCATTTGGGTCTGTCGTCCAGAGGTGGAAGTCACAAATCTCCAGCCAGACATTGGTCTGCGAGATAATAACATCGATCAATTGGATATAACCGCAGCTTGAGGAAGAACTAGGTTTCTTCTACCATTTAGACCTTCAAATTTGTGGCTCTGGTTGAACATTTTATCACTGAGTAATTCTACAAACAAGGAAGCATTTATATTTTTGTGAAATCAGAGTGAAATGTGTTTATTACAAAGATGAGGATCTTAGAAGGAATGGCAATTATGATGAGAGATTAGACTTTTATGAGCAGTCAATAATCTGTTTGTAACAGAATGTGTGAATGTATAGAAAACAGGTTTTAAGAGGATTTCAATCGAATGCATTTTTATATTACTACTGAATAAACTGAGGAGTAAGAAACCATTTGAGCTGATTTATCTATTGAGAAAACTAAGTCTGTGCTTCAAATAATCCTCATCACTGCATAGATGGTTATGTCATATCCTTCTATGTATACCAATTTACATGTGTATATGGTGACACATACATAGGGAGGAGCAACCGAACTATGAAGTTGAGGGTGGTGGAGCATATCCCTAAATGGCCAGAAAAACAATTAGATTCAAATAATCTGCACATCATAGGAAGAGGTCACAGTATTGACTTTCAGACAGCCTTAAGGAGTCGTCAAGACCATATACATAGGTTCATTGAAGCCTTAGCTATACGAAAGTTCAAACTCCGATTTGTGCGTTCAAAAACAATTTGTCCTCACCTTAAACCTACCCTGGTAATCTCTATCTCATTTTAATGCCAAAGTACGTGTTATTCCCATATTTTCCATTATCTTAATTTATCTTTTTATTATTATATAATAATTTTCCTCTTGGGTTCCTAGTGGAACATACCGCTTCAGTAACACGCCAACACTTCACTCTCTTCACTGCAGGATTTTGGACTTGGTACCACGACTGCAAATAAGCCTTCATTTCTTCTTCACACGATCTCCTCCTCGTCATCCTCAGACGCCCAACGTGTCGGTTCCGATGAGAAATACACTCGACGGACTATACTGTCACATATTAGCATTATTCTTTGTCCCTTGGATTCCAACGGAAAAATAGGGCTTCTGTTGATGGTGATTGGAGCTTGGTGGCGGTTGAGTATCTACATCACCTCCGTCTTCTCTACGTTCACTTGAAGTCTCGTCTTCGCTGCCCTGCCTCTTCTGTCAACTTGTTGGATTTTGCCTGTAGATCTTCAAGTTTGTCCTACAAGACATTAGACATAAATCATCATCATCATCATCATCATCATCATCATCATCGTCATCATCCTCGGTGAAGTCCTAATCTTCTATGATCTTTTCCCCGGTCCAGCCAGCGTATCCCCCTCTTCTCGCTCCCCACACTTGTCTGCTGCATGATCCAGTCCAGTCGACCACAATCAGGAAAATCATGGGGGATAGTACGCAGCCTTGTCTTACTCCTGTCTTCACTTCAAAGGCATCACTGAGCTTTCCATTGTGAATTACTTGGCATGCGGCGTCTTCTTATAGTTGTTGAATGAGGTTGATAAAGATTTGTGGCACTGAGACCGTAGTGTTGAAGCAACTAACTGCCTGCCAAATTACTTCTCGGTTGACGCTGTCGAAGGCCTTTTCAAAGTCGATGAAGTTGAGGTAAAGAGTTGCCATTCTGCCATTCTACGCTCTGTTCTATGATGATGCGTAGGGTAGCATTGCAATTCAGTCCGCACATGATTTGTACTTCCTGAATCCAGGCAGCCTGTTCCGGTTGTAGTTTTGAATCCAGCGCATCTTCTAGTCTCTCCAGGATGATGCGGCATAATATTTTGCTTGAGGTGGACAGGAGCATGATCCCTCGTCAATTCTTGCAAAGACTTAGATCTGGTCTACCTTCTTTGGGAGTTTGACAAGATAGCCCTTCTTCCGATCAAAGGGGCAGGTACCTTTCCTTCCTTCCTTCCAGACCTTCTACATTAGTGGTGTGAGCATGCCTGCTGTTGTCCCTGAGTCTGTTCTCAGTGCTTCTGGCGGGATTCCATCTGGTCCTGTTGCTTTCCTGCATTTCAGTAGCCCTATGGTGTTCAGGACTTCACTTCTGCTCTTGTCGGAGGACCTGTGTTCACTTGCAGTTCTGTGGTTGCAAGTGGTATTTCTGGTGGTCGATTCAAGAGCTTTTCGAAGTGGTCACCCCATCGTTTCCCTTGTTTCTCTTCTTTGGTAATTAGATTTCCTTCATCATCTTTTATTGGTTTCATCTGTGTTGATCTCTTCCCTACCAGATAGTAACTTGGTTATTATTTGATACAATGTTGTCAGGTCTCTCCTACCAGCAGCCTGTTGTGCTTCACTTGCCAGTGTTTCGTAAAAGTGTCTTTTATCTTTGCGAGCACTCTTCTTCACTTCTTTGTCCAGTGTTTTATACATTGTACTCAGCTCCTCTTCTCGTCGTTCATGCCTGCACTGCACTGGTTCATCTTCTGCTTCACCATCCTCCTCTCCCTTCTCTATCAGCTTCCATGTGTCCATCGACATACACTCCTTGTCTTCTTTCCTCTTCCTTCCTAACACGGTCATGCAGGTTTCCTTCCACGTCTCTTTCAAAGAGTTCCAGTGTTCATCCACACAGGTTTCTTCAAGGATGTTGCTCGATATCTCCCATTTTGTCCTGATTACTGGCTGACGTGAAGATTTCCTTTGTACTTTCGTTCTTCAGTTTCTGTTCTGGGTGTTGAACTTGAACTGTGGTCTATCACCAACTTCTTTGAAGGTTTTCAACTTGATTTTGAAGGTTGCTTGCACTAGATAGTGAGTGGTGTGGACCTACATCTGCTCCCCTTCTCGATCTGACCTTGTGTCCAGTAGCCTGACTGCATCTCCACTTTCTTCACATTGAGTTGAAGTTCATCTGATCTTTTGTGCAGTGTCTCCATCTGGTGAAATCATATCCATGTCGCTTCATGGATATCCTTGTGCTTGAACACACTGCCTCCAATCATCAAATCGTCGAATGCGCAGAAATCTGCAAACAGTTCTCCTTTCTCATTCATCATTTCAGCGAGCGCTTCTCGACCCATGGTTAGTTCTCTTCCTGTGTTGTCTACTCCCAGTTTGGCATTCATGTCGCCCATTACAATGAATTTTGATGTGGCCAACTGGTGTGGGGTCTTGTCCAGTACTGATTGCAGTTGTCTGTAGAATTCCTCCTTCTTCTCTTCATCTGCATTATTTGTAGGTGTGTGGCGTAGCATTGTATGATTGTGACTTTCCTTCCGTTTGAGTTGAACCTTGCTGTCATGATCCTAATCCTCCCGGAGGAGATTGGTTCCCACTGCATGAGAGCCTTCGATGCTCTCGGGGACATCACGATCGCCACTCGAAAACTCAGTGTGCTTGTGGCTGTCATCTGGGCGACAATATCGGAGTAGATTATTGATTCCTCTCCAGTTGACAGTTTGGAGAGTCCACTTGCATTCCATGTGCAGACTCCTCGCAGATTTCTAGCACTTCAATGCTATGCCTTCTCATCTCCCTTGCAATCTGAGCAGCCTTGTCAACCAGCTAGCTTCAAAGATTGTGCGGACAATCCATGTCGCCATGTTTACTTTCGCTTTCATCGAGAGAGAGAGAGAGAGAGAGAGAAGACACATTGGTCAATTGGCTTCCCAAAAGCTTTCACTAACCGGCTTCATTTCGTCTCTCCGATTCCAGTGAGGAGTGAGTTTGTTTTTATGTTTTATATTTCGTCAGTGCTTTGAAGTTTCTGTAGCGGTTTGATTGGTTTTCTGGGGTAGGGTTGTTAGCCGTATGCCCAACATTCCCTCTTTATCTGGTCTTAGGACCGTTTAGTAACTAGTGAACTAGTTAACGTGGCGAGGTTTTATTTATCTTTCCCTACTTTTTTTCATCCTTCATATAAATTGTCTTGACAAGTAAATGTGTGATCAGATTGTTTGAAATGTATTACACGAATAAATCGCATTTCTCAGATAACATCCGTATCTGAATTACAACACTATGTAAGTTAATTTGATTGTTTTGATAACCCTGATCTGACTAAATAAATCTGTCTATCAGTCAGAGTGGTTTCTTACTGCTCAGGTTGTTCAGGAGTAGTATATTTCACTAGTTTATGACACTTTTGTGTCAGATATGCAGCGTAAACCCTATTGACACCACAGATGAAAAACTACCTAGCTGTGAGAAATATCAAAGTTAACCATCTGATTTGCCAATTGATCATCCTATTTATGAGTGTATTTTTCTCTGTTAAAATATCAGTCTTATAAAAATTACAGATTGGAGAGCACTGAATACCGATTCTCGTAACTTTAAAACTTTTCATGATTAGCCATAGAGATTATGAAACATGTCAGCTGCCAGTTATACTCTCGATGTTAACTTGTACTTTCTTTATACAAGTCCTGATAATTTATCAATGTTACAGAACTATGTGCAACTTACTGTTGTCACATTCATTAGTCCACCCAAGCCAATCACATGATCACCAGACTCATGATGTGTATGCTCATAGTGTTTATGAAGAGGCAGATGAGATAAATTCGCTGCTATATGTCTAGCTTGCATAGTTAGCATAGCCCAACTCATATTACACCGAATACCGAATGTGATCATAAAGCCTAAACTTGATAACCATGCTATATAGTAGCGTTTTGAACAATGACAGCATAAATAATGTAAGCATTTGCCTTGACACGAACTATCTGCATATATTGTACCACTTGTTTCATCGGTATTCATTTGTCCATAAGCTGAATTAACCTCAGGTTTACTAACTCCTGCATTCTTCAAGAAACTGAATTTAAACACAGAAAGAGAAAAAAGAAATCATTTGTAGGACTTTCTTAATTTACTTTGTGAATGAATAAATGATTTCATTAACTTGATTGGTTAACAGCCTTTTTTAAAAAGAGAGTAAACTGGATCATAGTATACACAATCAAATTTATATTTTATAATAATAATGGTTTGTGGCTAGCAGCGGAATTCAGTACGCACGTTCCCTCCTTTTTGGGACTCTTCAGCTGAATGTGCCTGCTGATAACTACCTGTTATTGTTATGAAATTAAAGTAATGGGTAATATTGAGGCATTCGCTCAGGAACCTGTATACCAGTAGAGACCGATCAGTTTGACTGTCAGCAACGGGATAATATAAGCAACAGCATAAAAGCGATGCCAGTCCCCCAAGAATTGGCTATTGTGACTCGGTGACCTAGTGAATAACGCTCTGGTATCTTAAATGATAGGTCTCTGGTTCGAATTCCAGTGAGAATAGTACCACTCACTGAGAGGCAAGTACGTTCAGAGTCCTGGATTCCACTGGTAGCAACTACCCATCATTGATATAAAAATTGAAACGACGGACATTGTTGAGGGGTCCTCACAGCTGCCAATATGGAAATAGAAATAGATTAATTTGATCTAATCAACAGAGGAATAATATAATCAACAAAATAAAATTTATTTTTCCCCTGTAGCGTTTCAACCCTGCTGATGAGTAAAGGATGGAAACCAGACAACAGGAAATAAGAGTTACAGATTTATGCTTCATTATCTTCAAAATTAATGCACACCAATCATGATTTTTTACACTGAAGATGACTACAGTTGTTACTTGAAAAGCAACTTCAGTGACTTTGTTTATTGTTTTGATGCTAACTTTAAAAAGTCCGCCTGTTTCAAATTCTGTTGTTGAAATGTTAACATCACTGCAAAGTTATGTTGTCTTGAAACTGGTCTACAATTCCCCGAAAGTAATTTATTTTATCATGTAAATAACTAGGAAATGTCCCAAACTGAATTATCACCATATTGAAAGCTTATTTGTTTATCTAGTGAAACAGTAAAGTTTTGGTTTTAGCCATGATTTCAACAAAAATATTCATTAAGGCTACTTAATAACTATAACTGGTGAGTTTTACAACAGCTTCACTTACATTTACTAGAGTTTTTGTCGGTGAGTTCATCTTTTGTTAAGGATTACACAATGCGACCTGTTTGACATCACAATCGAGGTCGGGTGTTAAGAGCATCTTCATCTGGATAGTGATATGAGTGTTCTACAAATACTCATATCGATCAGTAGTGCATTTAGCTTCATAGGCACACTTTTAAGTTTTCAAGACTGTATTTGTTTCTCAATAGTACTAAGCATAACTTACTTATCATCGATACGTTTTTCCCTTTCAATTTGTAATTTTTGACCTAAAACGCGAAACATTCACACCATGATGGGGTTCGACAACTTGCTCTTCCATCACTGAGTGCATTGATTTGACGTACAATATGATCTGCAGAGTTAACAATACCTTGTCATGCTTGTGTGTCCATGAAACTGCCAAAGCATCTTTATTATAGAACATCACTCATAAGTCGTAACATATAAATTTTTGTTCAAATAGTTATTTAATACTTTTAATAATCATATTAATCGTGTAGAGTCGTTTGGCATCTATAGTCACACGAATAATCGTTGCTCTAAACAAATACTTTCTGTCAGCTAAGCTTTCTTAAACACAGTGATACAATCGACTCCATGTTGTATTTTTAAAGTTTTTGTAACAGTCAAGCATCTTTTTGCAGGAGCCCAGGATAGTAAGCAAAAACGTCTCTGGACTTTTAACAAAAATCTATGCTCAGCAGTGCGCACCCACGACCCCACCAGCAGGGACCGAACCCGCGACCTTCAGGTTCCGCGACCAGCGCGTTACCATTGAGCCACTAGGACGAAACAGCTGTCCAGTGCTCCCAGGTTTCCTTTGTTCCTCCAACTGATGTCAGTCTTCGATGAATAACAACTTGAAATATTTCCAAATCTCCACAACCCCCTCAAAATTTAAAAATCTATGCACCAATAAGACCTTACAATCTCATGAAGAAACTCTCACCTCGAAAGCCCTAATACTGGATCATTTAGTGGAAAATAAAAGAAGAAATGTTATACATCCTCTTTAAAAAGGGATAATGTGAGTAACCATTCAAGCTTTGTTAGTTTGTACCCCTAAATCCCCTTAATTTCTTAGTTATGCATTATATGAATATGCGTGTCAACTCTGAAACACCTGGTATGACTGGAAATTATTGTATAGACTAAGTGCTAAGTATACAGCGACACCGAAGAAACCAGTGATAAGTTCCAGAGGTTTACTGTTAGAAAGGGAAACGTTTTTTTATTAATTTAGACATCCCATTTCCAACTAATTCAAGCTAATTCAAATTTCAACCGTGTCCATCAAAGTATAGACAGTCATTTTGTTTCATAAACTGTTCAGCAATAGGTATGGCTTCCGGTTTAGTTTTGGAAAATGTTGACTGATCCTAATATGAATGTTTTTACCATCAGAAAATATTAGTATCATGTTAAGAAATTGTCCAGTACTCTGAAAATGTGGAAACGGTTCAGAGGATATAAAAATTTCATAAACACAAATATATTCTAATCAACAATAAAAATCTTGACCTGCTGTTCCATAGTGTAATCATTCTTCTGAAGGGGATAAAATTCTATTCTAATGCTATCAGTATCATGGGTTACCGAACAAGACTTTGATCAGACTTCCATATTCAACGACTCTGAGAAACGACAAACGGTTAGGGCTAAACGAGACACTAAGGATTAAGTCATAATCCTAGAACCAGTTGTCACCCTCTCTGTGAAAAGTCTGTGATCTTCCCAAGATTTGCAGAAAATAGGTATCCAGATGGGTTTTTGTAAAATGAGACTTCGGAAACAGACTATGCCAAAACCTATGCGGATAAGGTGAAAACTCATTTAGGCAGCTTTATCGTCTTGTATACAAATGCATGTAGTCTATTAAACAAATGGATCTAGCTTAGTAGTGCAGAAAGCATAAAAAGTCATGACGTCATTGGTATCTCAGAAATGTAGCTGTTTTCTGAGTCCAGTGACAGTGAAGCATATTTACAAGGATTTTTTTGGAAGTGATGGATTGGCGCTCGGATATGATTGTGTCATCCTTTACGTAGGAGCCAAAGAAACGGACAAGCACAGAAGTGGGACGTCTGAAATGATGTGCTGCCGACTAAAATGCAAGGGACAAGATGTCAACTTAGTCGTAGCATGTCGAGTTCCTAAATGTGAGGCGGTAGACCTGTTTCTGAATAAGCCGAAACTTTAGGCAGATTAATGCAGACCCTTAGATGTAGCAAACCTTAGCGCACCAACAACTGACAGGGACACTATAAGAACAGAAGCATCACGTAAATTGTTTGGTCATAGATTAGTAGGAATATGAATTTTTTGGCTTCTGTACAGCACTTAGAAGCAGTAATACGCTAAGATTACCAACATGCTCAGTCAGTTCTAGACTCAGTATTCTCTTACGTAGATGATGTTAGCTCTACCTAACGCCTTGAATTCCTTGGCAAATATGATCATTCTGTACTCATCTTCAGGTTCACAACAACCATCTTGTGCCAGGCTGACACCCCAGCTGCAACCTACGCGTGGAAGTCAAACATGATGGCTATTAACTTAGCAGCCTCCTCGGAAGACTGGATAGTCAATACAGGAACCTCAGTTGAAGCGACACGCTGCTCCTCCAAACAGGTGTATGCTTGAGTGACCCGACCAGTCATTTTGTGAACCATTCTGAAGGGAAGAGCACACTATCCTCCATAACTAAACTGCGTAATCCGAATATTATTACGCTACAAGCAAAAGTGTTAGAGTCTTGTAACTAACCTTGGTACTCCAGAGGCAAAAAAGTAAGGCAAAAGCTCAGAATAAACGTACTGAAGCTTTCAACCAGTCTCAGATATTCTTTCAAATCCATCTGAATCAGGTTGTAGTAGAACATTAAGGTAGACTATTTTCTTATATAAACTATAGGAATAAAGTGCATCGTGGCATCTTCACTCTAATCAAAGACACAGGAACTAGCCACTTAACTGAAGATAAGAATTCAAAAGCATAAACATTGTTATCCAATAGAATAAACCGTGTGGACATCGACTGTAATGATGTAGCCAAGACAATAAGTATTGTGGATACCAAAACACCAGTGGGATCGGATGAGCTACATCCAAGGCTGCTTAGACAGCTCGCACCCTACGTAGCTGCCCAAATGAATACTGTATTTAAACCGTTCCTGAGTGTAGGCTCACTCTCAGATGGCTGGAAGGACACCATAGCTACGCCTATCCATAAGGCAGGTTCTAGGTAGTATCTGTCAAACTGTAGACTGATAACCTTGAGTGGTAATATAGTAAAAAGTCTTGGAAGAGTAATCAAGAAACCGACACTGCATTATACCGTTCACATCATGCCTTTCGCGGAAGTTCCTCTTACTGGACAGTGTCTCACTCTACGTTGCCCATGAAACTGGAAAGCTTCGGAATCACTGGCAGTTTATCTGTATGGACCAGAGAGTTCCTTTTGGTGGGAGACAAAGATTAAGGATCAACAACCCAACTATTTGCCTAGAATTCAACATAGAATGTAGTACTTCAAAGTAAGGTTGTGGGTTGTCTTCTGTTTCTCCTGTACGTAAATGAACTGCTAAATATCATGAAACCACCTTGATTATCTAAGCTGATGATGTAAACAACTGGTGAGAAATTAAAGATGGCGATTTGCACGCACCTCAGATAAACCTCTTCTTTTCATCCTATCGTAGACAGGTGAAAGATTCAGTCGCGCTGTACAGGATTCTAAGTAGTGACTTTGAACGTGATCTACCTTCTCTTTTTCTTCCCGCATTTCGAAGTGCCTCATACGATAGCAGAAGAATACAAAAGTAAAGGTCAAACTTCGTCTCAGCAGAGTATATAT